TAAATGACATCAAATGTGATTTCTCTGTGAATATCCAGTAGTAGTATTGGCATGGATTCTGCTTTTCGTCTTCCATTGATGTCCTGTATCCGCTTGATTGTAGACGAGTCCCTTTGAGTGTCAAAGGATGGTTTGGATGATGATCTTTAGTTGATTGAATATCATGTAGTGTGGTTCGTTCATTCATTGTTAACTGATTACGTATTTATAAGTTCACATTGTTGCTTTGATGAACTTTCAGAAGAAGGTATCTCTGCTATTTTTTTTAGGGGTATCGAGATCTGGCTGTTCTAGTATGTTGCCACTTCTGTTAATATACACATATTTTGGTCATTCCTCTAGCATGCCCATCGACTTTACTCGTTTATGTTGTACGGTTACTGGGATGAAAAGTAGGAAGTTATGTGATATGATAAGATCCCTTGCTTCTAATCTCTTGTCTAACAATTGGAAGACTGCATATGGCTCTGGTAGATCCCACCCTTTGTTTGACATGTACTGGCTTGTTTTAACTTATGCTACTTAGGAAAGCGAATTAAAAAAACAAACCAAATTTTACAGGCTTAAGAAGCGTCTGGGTGGAAACAATAAGCAGCTTGGCACTGAGTAGGATAGATGACTGAAATTTAACTAGTCTTCACTTTGAGTTTTGACTGAACCAATGCATTAAAAACTCTAGGTTGTGCCACCTATGTTGACAGTTTGGGAATCTATCTATCTGAATTTGTTTCATGCCCGTGTATAGTCTGTTTTGTCTGGGGAGTTTTTTTGGTAGTGTTGGCCGAACTGTGTTGTGTCCTTTCTATCATTCCATCTCCTCTTTTTTACTCAAACACAACTGCAAGGGTACAGTCCTTGCTTTTTCTCTTTTTGCTGATTTGACCTCATGGTTCCTCTTAAAAAAGCAGGCAGCTAGGAGATTCTTGCTTTTCACATGTTGCCATGCATAGCATCATGTGGGGAATTGATTTTTGAAGAAATTGGATACATTTCCTTATCCCAAAGGTTTGGTCAGTCTAGCAAATGTTTTTGACGAGTCAAAGAAATGTTCCGTTGTTTAGATGATGCAAAGCGTTTTGTTTCCTGTCTCCTTCGCTGGTTTTACGGCTTGATCGGCCCTTGTAATTATGGATTTGGTGATTCAACCGATGATTGAACTATTTTGCATCAATGTTTTACGGCGAGTTATGAGGTGAAAGATAAACCAAATTGGCCTATAAATGAAAGAAATGGGAGGGTTAAAATTGTCTAACTGAGGATTTAAAATTGAACAATAATAACAAAGTTGAACACGTTGGTCAATTATAGTAGAAACCTCATTCATCTTGATACGAATAGAATATCCTGTTGAAAAATTTTCCTTACACGATAATTTCAAAAAATACGCAGAGAAAAAAAAATGCCACATTTATGCTAATCTAATCAAGGGTGAGCATGGGCCTGGTTAAGCTCATTCAACACCTAACTTAAGAACCAACCCACACAATATCGGTCTCCAATTTTTGGGATCGGGGTTCGAACCCTTTGGGCCTGGGACCGAGAACGACCAATTGATTTTTTTTGTGTTTCGTTTTTTGTATTCCTAGAAAGGACAACCGTACTCTTTGAAGTTACGTATTCATCGACAATGCGATATTGAGCAACCAAATAATGAATATCGGTATAAATCAAATAAATATTTAAGAGAACGCAACAACAGAAATCTTCAATTGCCAAAAACAACAAACCAGACGAACACGTGAACTATAAAAAGTAGAGTGTCGCGAAAGGGAGGGGAAGAGAATCGATCGATGAGTTTAAATGAGTAAAGAGGAGACGAAGAGACTACCTCCAAAGAAATGGAAATGGATGATTTTATTGATAACTTGAGATTGAGGGAGAGAGTGAGATTGTGAGAAAGGAAAACGGCAAAAGAAGAGGGGCACCTATAATTTCATTCCTAGGATTTGGACAGAAAGAAAAGATAACTACAAGTTGGTCCAAACCAATCTAAAATCGCGAGACTAGGAATTAACCCACATGATACAGAGTTCCGCTGCCCAAAATCGAAGACAGGCTCAGTCCCGAACTGAATCAAGACCAGACGAGTTGAACCGATCCATAGTCGGTTTAGGGTGAGCCCTGACCAATGCTTCCCCTAAACCAAGCAGCTCTTTTACCCTAGGTTTCTCTCTTCTTCGTTCCTGTGCGTGGCGTCGGTTTGAAGCAGACGATCGAAAGAAAAAATGGTGCCGGTGGCCATCGCAGGCGCCGTGGCGAAGCCGTTCGTGGAGAAATACTACCAGTTGTTCGACGTGATTGTTCAGGACTTGGGGAACCTGTACGAGGAAGATTGGATGCTGACCTTCGAGGGCGAGATTTTCCTGGGCAAGGAGAGAATCCTCAGCAAACTCCAGTCCCTTCCCTTCCAGTAGTGCTAGCACAGAATCCAAACCGTCAACAGCCAACCGGCCAGCCCCGCCGGCGGCGTGCTCGTCCTCATCAAGGGTGTGCTTGACTTCGTCCGGCTAGACGGCGTGCGGCAAGCCGTTGATTTCAGCCAGGTCTCTTGCTTTCTCTCTCCCTCTTCCATCTCTCTCTATCGGTTGATTTCGCGTGGATCTGATTTGATGTGCGATTTGGGTCAAAGAACTGTTCCGTTCCTGTCTCCTTCGCTGGTTTTACGGCTTGATCGGCCCTTGTCATTATGGATTTGGTGATTCGACCGATGAACGAACTATTTTGCATCAATGTTTTTCTCGCCTTTAATTTTGTGTGCTCTGCAGTGTGTCGGGTTAAATGACATCAAATGTGATTTCTCTGTGAATATCGAGTAGTATTATAGGCATGGATTCTGTTTTTCGTCTTCTATTGCTGTCCCGTATCTGCTTGATTGTAGACGAGTCTCTTTGAGTGTCAAAGGATGGTTTGGATGATGCTCTTTAGTTGATTGAATATCATGTAGTGTCGTTCGTTCATTCATTGTTAACTGATTACGTATTTATAAGTTCACATTGTTGCTTTGATGAACTTTCAGAAGAAGGTATCTCTGCTATTTTTTTTAGGGGTATCGAGATCTGGCTGTTCTAGTATGTTGCCACTTCTGTTAATATACACATATTTTGGTCATTCCTCTAGCATGCCCATCGACTTTACTCGTTTATGTTGTACGGTTACTGGGATGAAAAGTAGTAAGTTAGGTGATATGATAAGATCCCTTGCTTCTAATCTCTTGTCTGAAAATTGGAGGACTGCATATGGCTCTGCTAGATCCCACCCTTTGTTTGACATGTACTGGCTTGTTTTAACTTATGCTACTTAGGAAAGCGAATTAAAAAAACAAACCAAATTTTACAGGCTTAAGAAGCGTCTAGGTGGAAACAATAAGGAGCTTGGCACTGAGTAGGATAGATGACTTAAATTTAACAAGTCTTCACTTTGAGTTTTGACAGAACCAATGCTTTAAAAATTCTTGGTTGTGCCACCTATATTGATAGTTTGGGAATCTATCTATGTGAATTTGTTTCATGCCCGTCTATAGTCTTTATTATCTGGGGAGTTTTTTTGGTAGTGTTGGCCGAACTGTATTGCGCCCTTTCTGTCATTCCATCTCCTCTTTTTTACTCAAACACAACTGCAAGGGTACAGTCCTTGCTTTTTCTCTTGCTGCTGATTTGACCTCATGGTTGCTCTTAAAAAAGCAGGCAGCGAGGAGATTCTTGCTTTTCACATGTTGCCATGCATAGCATCATGTGGGGAATTGATTTTTGAAGAAATTGGATACATTTCCTTATCCCAAAGGTTTGGTCAGTCTAGCAAATGTTTTTGACGAGTCAAAGAAATGTTCCGTTGTTTAGATGATGCAAAGCGTTTTGTTTCCTGTCTCCTTCGCTGGTTTTACGGCTTGATCGGCCCTTGTAATTATGGATTTGGTGATTCAACCGATGAATGAACTATTTTGCATCAATGTTTTACGGCGAGTTATGAGGTGAAAGATAAACCAAATTGGCCTATAAATGAAAGAAATGGGAGGGTTAAAATTGTCTAATTGAGGATTTAAAATTGAACAATAATAACAAAGTTAAACACGTTGGTCAATTATAGTAGAAACCTCATTCATCTTGATACGAATAGAATATCTTGTTGAAAAATTTTCCTTACACGATAATTTCAAAAATTAAGCAGAGAAAAAAAAATGCCACATTTATGCTAATCTAATCAGGGGTGACCATGGGCCTGGTTAAGCTCATTCAACACCTAACCTATGAACCAACCCGCACAATATCGGTCTCCAATTTTTGGGATCGGGGTTCGAACCCTTTGGGCCTGGGACCGAGAACGACCAATTGATTTTTTTTTTGTTTCGTTTTTTGTATTCCTAGAAAGGACAACCGTACTCTTTGAAGTGACGTATTCATCGACAATGCGATATTGAGCAACCAAATAATGAATATCGGTATAAATCAAATAAATATTTAAGAGAACGCAACAACAGAAATCTTCAGTTGCCAAAAACAACAAACCAGACGAACACGTGAACTATAAAAAGTAGAGTGTCACGAAAGGGAGGGGAAGAGAATCGATCGATGAGTTTAAATGAGTAAAGAGGAGACGAAGAGACTACCTCCAAAGAAATGGAAATGGATGATTTTATTGATAACTTGAGATTGAGGGAGAGAGTGAGATTGTGAGAAAGGAAAACGGCAAAAGAAGAGGGGCACTTATAATTTCATTCCTAGGATTTGGACAGAAAGAAAAGATAACTACAAGTTGGTCCAAACCAATCTAAAATCGCGAGACTAGGAATTAACCCACATGATACAGAGTTCCGCTGCCCAAAACCGAAGACAGGCTCAGTCCCGAACTGAATCAAGACCAGACGGGTTGAACCGATCCAGAGTCGGTTTAGGGTGAGCCCTGACCGATGCTTCCCCTAAACCAAGCAGCTCTTTTACCCTAGGTTTCTCTCTTCTTCGTTCCTGTGCGTGGTATCGGTTTGAAGCAGACGATCGAAAGAAAAAATGGTGCCGGTGGCCGTCGCAGGCGCCGTGGCGAAGCCGTTCGCGGAGAAATTCTACCAGTTGTTCGACGCGATTGTTCAGGACTTGGGGAACCTGTACGAGGAAGATTCGATGCTGACCTTCGAGGGCGAGAAGTTCCTGGGCAAGGAGAGAATCCTAAGCAAACTCCAGTCCCTTCCCTTCCAGCAGTGCCAGCACAGAATCAAAACCGTCAATAGCCAGACCGCCGGCCCCGCCGGCGGCGTGCTCATCCTCGTCAAGGGTGTGCTAGACTTCGTCCGGCTAGACGGCGTGCGGCAAGCCGTTGATTTCAGCCAGGTCTCTTGCTTTCTCTCTCCCTCTTCCTTCTCTCTCTATCGGTTGATTTCGCGTGGATCTGGTTTGATGTGCGATTTGGGTCAAAAAACTGTTCCGTTCCTGTCTTCTTCGCTGGTTTTACGGCTTGATCGGCCCTTGTCATTATGGATTTGGTGATTCGACCGATGAATGAACTATTTTGCATCAATGTTTTTCTCGCCTTTAATTTTGTGTGCTCTGCAGTGTGTTGGGTTAAATGACATCAAATGTGATTTCTCTGTGAATATCCAGTAGTATTATAGGCATGGATTCTGTTTTTCGTCTTCTATTGCTGTCCCGTATCTGCTTGATTGTAGACGAGTCTCTTTGAGTGTCAAAGGATGGTTTGGATGATGCTCTTTAGTTGATTGAATATCATGTAGTGTGGTTCGTTCATTCATTGTTAACTGATTACGTATTTATAAGTTCACATTGTTGCTTTGATGAACTTTCAGAAGAAGGTATCTCTGCTATTTTTTTTAGGGGTATCGAGATCTGGCTGTTCTAGTATGTTACCACTTCTGTTAATATACACATATTTTGGTCATTCCTCTGGCATGCCCGTCGACTTTACTCGTTTATGTTGTACGGTTACTGGGATGAAAAGTAGTAAGTTAGGTGATATGATAAGATCCCTTGCTTCTAATCTCTTGTCTGAAAATTGGAGGACTGCATATGGCTCTGCTAGATCCCACCCTTTGTTTGACATGTACCGGCTTGTTTTAACTTATGCTACTTGGGAAAGCGAATTAAAAAAACAAACCAAATTTTACAGGCTAAAGAAGCGTCTAGGTGGAATCAATAAGCAGCTTGGCAATGAGTAGGATAGATGACTGAAATTTAACTAGTCTTCACTTTTAGTTTTGACTGAACCAATGCATTAAAAACTCTAGGTTGTGCCACCTATGTTGACAGTTTGGGAATCTATCTATCTGAATTTGTTTCATGCCCGTCTATAGTCTTTATTGTCTGGGGAGTTTTTTTGGTGGTGTTGGCCGAACTGTGTTGCGTCCTTTCTATCATTCCATCTCCTCTTTTTTACTCAAACACAACTGCAAGGGTATAGTCCTTGCTTTTTCTCTTGCTGCTGATTTGACCTCATGGTTGCTCTTAAAAAAGCAGGCAGCGAGGAGATTCTTGCTTTTCACATGTTGCCATGCATAGCATCATGTGGGGAATTGATTTATGAAGAAATTGGATACATTTCCTTATCCCAAAGGTTTGGTCAGTCTAGCAAATGTTTTTGACGGGTCAAAGAAATGTTCCGTCGTTTAGATGATGCAAAGCGTTTTGTTTCCTGTCTCCTTCGCTGGTTTTACGGCTTGATCGGCCCTTGTAATTATGGATTTGGTGATTCAACCGATGAATGAACTATTTTGCATCAATGTTTTACGGCGAGTTATGAGGTGAAAGATAAACCAAATTGGCCTAAAAATGAAAGAAATGGGAGGGTTAAAATTGTGTATCTTAGGATTTAAAATTGAACAATAATAACAAAGTTGAACACGTTGGTCAATTATAGTAGAAACCTCATTCATCTTGATACGAATAGAATATCCTGTTGAAAAATTTTCCTTACGCGATAATTTCAAAAAATAAACAGAGAAAAAAAAATACCACATTTATGCTAATCTAATCAGGGGTGAGCATGGACCTGGTTAAGCTCATTCAACACCTAACCTAAGAACCAACCCGCATAATATCGGTCTCCAATTTTTGGGATCGGGGTTCAAACCCTTTGGGCCTGGGACTGAGAACGACCAATTGATTTTTTTTTGTTTCGTTTTTTGTATTCCTAGAAAGGACAACCGTACTCTTTGAAGTTACGTATTCATTGACAATGCGATATTGAGCAACCAAATGATGAATATCGGTATAAATCAAATAAATATTTAAGAGAACGCAACAACAGAAATCTTCAGTTGCCAAAAACAACAAACCAGACGAACACGTGAACTATAAAAAGTAGAGTGTCGCGAAAGGGAGGGGAAGAGAATCGATCGATGACTTTAAATGAGTAAAGAGGAGACGAAGAGACTACCTCCAAAGAAATGGAAATGGATGATTTTATTGATAACTTGAGATTGAGGGAGAGAGTGAGATTGTGAGAAAGGAAAACGGCAAAAGAAGAGGGGCACTTATAATTTCATTCCTAGGATTTGGACAAAAAGAAAAGATAACTACAAGTTGGTCCAAACCAATCTAAAATCGCGAGACTAGGAATTAACCCACATGATACAGAGTTCCGCTGCCCAAAACCGGAGACAGGCTCAGTCCCGAACTGAATCAAGACCAGCCGGGTTGAACCGATCCAAAGTCGGTTTAGGGTGAACCCTGACCGATGCTTCCCCTAAACCAAGCAGCTCTTTTACCCTAGGTTTCTCTCTTCTTCGTTCCTGTGCGTGGCGTCGGTTTGAAGCAGGCGATCGAAAGAAAAAATGGTGCCGGTGGCCGTCGCAGGCGCCGTGGCGAAGCCGTTCGCGGAGAAATACTACCAGTTGTTCGACGCGATTGTTCAGGACTTGGGGAACCTGTACGAGGAAGATTCGATGCTGACCTTCGAGGGCGAGAAGTTCCTGGGCAAGGAGAGAATCCTCAACAAACTCCAGTCCTTTCCCTTCCAGCAATGCCAGCACAGAATCAAAACCTTCAACAGCCAGCCCGCCGGCCCCGCAGGCGGCGTGCTCGTCCTCGTCAAGGGTGTGCTTGACTTCGTCCGGCTAGACGGCGTGCGGCAAGCCGTTGATTTCAGCCAGGTCTCTTGCTTTCTCTCTCCCTCTTCCTTCTCTCTCTATCGGTTGATTTCGCGTGGATCTGATTTGATGTGCGATTTGGGTCAAAGAACTGTTCCGTTCCTGTCTCCTTCGCTGGTTTTACGGCTTGATCGGCCCTTGTCATTATGGATTTGGTGATTCGACCGATGAATGAACTATTTTGCATCAATGTTTTTCTCGCCTTTAATTTGGTGTGCTCTGCAGTGTGTCGGGTTAAATGACATCAAATGTGATTTCTCTGTGAATATCTAGTAGTATTATAGGAATGGATTCTGTTTTTCGTCTTCTATTGCTGTCCCGTATCTGCTTGATTGTAAACGAGTCTCTTTGAGTGTCAAAGGATGGTTTGGATGATGCTCTTTAGTTGATTGAATATCATGTAGTGTGGTTCGTTCATTCATTGTTAACTGATTACGTATTTATAAGTTCACATTGTTGCTTTGATGAACTTTTAGAAGAAGGTATCTCTGCTATTTTTTTTCGGGGTATCGAGATCTGGCTGTTCTAGTATGTTACCACTTCTGTTAATATACACATATTTTGGTCATTCCTCTAGCATGCCCATCGACTTTACTCGTTTATGTTGTACGGTTACTGGGATGAAAAGTAGTAAGTTAGGCGATATGATAAGATCCCTTGCTTCTAATCTCTTGTCTGAAAGTTGGAGGACTGCATATCGTTCTGGTAGATCCCACCCTTTGTTTGACATGTCCTGGCTTGTTTTAACTTATGCTACTTAGGAAAGCGAATTAAAAAAACAAACCAAATTTTACAGGCTTAAGAAGCGTCTGGGTGGAAACAATAAGCAGCTTGGCACTGAGTAGGATAGATGACTGAAATTTAACTAGTCTTCACTTTGAGTTTTGACAGAACCAATGCTTTAAAAACTCTAGGTTGTGCCACCTATATTGACAGTTTGGGAATCTATCTATCTGAATTTGTTTCATGCCCGTCTATAGTCTTTATTGTCTGGGGAGTTTTTTTGGTAGTGTTGGCCGAACTGTGTTGCGTCCTTTCTGTCATTCCATCTCCTCTTTTTTACTCAAACACAACTGCAAGGGTACAGTCCTTGCTTTTTCTCTTGCTGCTGATTTGACCTCATGGTTGCTCTTAAAAAAGCATGCAGCGAGGAGATTCTTGCTTTTCACATGTTGCCATGCATAGCATCATGTGGGGAATTGATTTATGAAGAAATTGGATACATTTCCTTATCCCAAAGGTTTGGTCAGTCTAGCAAATGTTTTTGATGGGTCAAAGAAATGTTCCGTCGTTTAGATGATGCAAAGCGTTTTGTTTCCTGTCTCCTTCACTGGTTTTACGGCTTGATCGGCCCTTGTCATTATGGATTTGGTGATTCAATCGATGAATGAACTATTTTTCATCAATGTTTTTCTCGTCTTTAATTTGTTGTGCTCTGCGTTGGGTCGGGTTAAATGACATCAAATGTGATTTCTCTGTGAATATCTAGGAGTAGTATTGGCAAGGATTCTGTTTTTCGTCTTCTATTGATGACCTGTATCTGCTTGATTGTAGACGAGTCTCTTTGAGTGTCAAAGAATGGTTTGGATGATGATCTTTAGTTGATTGAACATAATTTAGTGTGGTTCGTTCATTCGTTGTTAACTCATTACGTATTTATAAGTTCACATTGTTGCTTTGATGACCTTTCAGAAGAATGTATCTCTGCTATTTTTTTTTAGTGGTATCGAGATCTGCCTGTTCTAGTATGTTGCCACTTCTGTTAATATACACATATTTTGGTCATTCCTCTAGCATGCCCATCGACTTTACTCGTTTATGTTGTACGGTTACTGGGATGAAAAGTAGTAAGTTAGGTGATATGATAAGATCCCTTGCTTCTAATCTCTTGTCTGAAAATTGGAGGACAGCATATGGCTCTGGTAGATCCCACCCTTTGTTTGACATGTACTGGCTTGTTTTAACTTATGCTACTTAGGAAAGCGAATTAAAAAAACAAACCAAATTTTACAGGCAGAAGAGGCGTCTGGGTGGAAAAAGTAGGCAGCTTGGCACTGAGTAGGATAGATGACTGAAATTTAACTAGTCTTCACTTTGAGTTTTGACTGAACCAATGCATTAAAAACTCTAGGTTGTGCCACCTATGTTGACAGTTTGGGAATCTATCTATCTGAATTTATTTCCTGCCCGTCTATAGTCTTTATTGTCTGGGGAGTTTTTTTGGTAGTGTTGGCCGAACTGTGTTGCGTCCTTTCTATCATTCCATCTCCTCTTTTTTACTCAAACACAACTGCAAGGGTACAGTCCTTGCTTTTTCTCTTGCTGCTGATTTGACCTCATGGTTGCTCTTAAAAAAGCAGGCAGCGAGGAGATTCTTGCTTTTCACATGTTGCCATGCATAGCAACATGTGGGGATATGATTTATGAAGAAATTGGATACATTTCCTTATCCCAAAGGTTTGGTCAGTCTAGCAAATGTTTTTGATGGGTCAAAGAAATGTT